AATAAATAAGTCCTTATCCTTTAGAGCAGTGGTTCTCAACCTTCTGGCCCTTTAAATACAGTTCCTCATGTTGTAACCCAACCATAAAATTATTTTCATTGCTACTTCATAACTGTAATGTTGTTACTGTTATGAATCATAATATAAATATCTGATATGCAGGATGGTCTTAGGCGACCCCTGTGAAAGGGTCGTTCGACCGCCAAAGGGGTCGCGACCCACAGGTTGAGAACCACTGCTTTAGAGATTGATATTGAAGCCTGTACAGGTTCAATGGCTTGATGTCTTGGATTTACCTTAAATAATCTAGTGCGGTGGCACCTTGCTAGTGCGTGTGTCAGAATCGGAGATAACCCATACCCTTCTCGGTTCCTGTTCTCTGTGCCCTGAGGGCCCACAGACCAGGGGAACCCCAAGAGTAGGAGGCAGATATGAAGGAGAGCAGGTCTGAGGGTCCAACTGTCACTGCCAAGCACTCACAGCAAGATTCAGAGGAGGATAGGCCCAAGAGTAAGGGCGTCCACAGAGGAACAAGCAAATAAAAAAAACGTTTCAACATGGAAAATGCCAAACGGGAAAATGAAACAAAGGATGAAAAGGAGCAAGGTGCTAATAAAGGAGAGGCTTGGCTTCCCTTTGGAAGCTGGTGAATATTGTGTGCCTGGAGGAAATCATGGGTGGCTCCCTCCTGGGCAGCCCATCCTGCAGTGTAGATGGGATGGGGGCAGAGGCATGGAGAGCCACAGGCAAGGGTGAGACAAAAGAATATGGAAAGGACTGGAAAGAGATGAGACAGCTGATGGAAAACATGAGGGAGAGCAGTCAAGTCAAAGTCTGTGGGCAGTTAGCACTGACCCCCGCACCATGACCATCACGATGAATTTTGCCTTAATGCCTTGAATCCTGATGTTCTCCCTGAAGTTAATAGGGAGACACACCTGCTTCCTAAACTTACATGTTCGTGCTGTACCTTCATCGTGACCCTTTTGGTGTTGCTTGTTTCCAGTGGGTCTCCTTTTACCAGTTTCTAACTGAATGTTGTGTTTTGACCCAATTTGTAAGTTTCTGTCAGCAGGGGAGTTTACCTATTGCATGGAAAGATGCTCATTACATACTGTGAAGTTAATAAAGCAGTTTTAAAAAGCAAATAATAATAATAAATCTAGTGGGGTAAGGCTGGGGAAGTTGGAGTATAGATAAAACAATGTTGATTGTCATTCATGAACCCTGGGAGTTCATCATATTGTTCACTCTACTTTTGGATATGTTTGAAAGTTTCCATAATAAACCTTCAAAAAAAGTCTCAGATCTTTTTTTAAAAAAGCCTCATCCAAAGCCTCATTTATTGATTTTAGAGAGCAAGGGAGGTAGGAAGGGAGGGAAGGTGGGAGAGAGGGAGGGAGGGAGGGAGGAAGGGAGAGAGGGAGGGAGGGAGGGAGGAAAACATCAATGTGAAAGAGAAATATCAATCGGTTGCCTCCCAAACAAACCCAACCAGGGATCGAACCCGCAGCTTTTTTGGTGTACAGGAGGATGCCCCGACCATCTGAGTCACCCAACCAGAGCCATAATAAACCATTTTTTAAAAATTTATAGACGTACTGCTTTTAATAGAATGCAATTTACTTTAGCAAAAGATGCTCAGGGACTTGAGGTTTCTATCACTACCATATTTTCCCTTTTGTACAAACTTTATAATCTTTAGTAAGAAAGCAAAATAGTCTCCCTCTGATCTGACAGTGTGCAGTCTATGTCCACACTTACATCATTCCTACCTCTTTTTGCTTTTATCCTCCTGTTCTGTTCACCATGCTTCTTCCCTTAGGGTGAGGATTTATTTCCATGCACTATTGCTATGAGAGACCTTCAAAAAAATTCTCTAAGTGGATCCTGAGAGCTTCTGACAACACCATGTAATAATTCTTCTCAATGTAAGCAGATAGGATTAACAGAGGCTGGTGTCTGTGCCTTTCTAAGAGATGGGCCACATATCTGTAACTTCCGTTTAGCTTCCATAAGAAGAAACACACCTTCAGGCAGAGCTGGAAGCAGAACTGGCTGGTACTGTTCATTACATTCGCAGGGGAAGTAAAATCCTTCGACGGGTCTCTGTGTGTTAGTGTAGTGAAATTTCCCTCTCACTGCAATCAAAAGAATCAGAACCTGACCTTGCCCAGAGAGTAGGCATCCCTTATTATAGCAGGTCCTCGTACAAGCACATCTCTCTTTGATATACACACACATTAGTCTCAGCTCTTCTGGCAAATCCATCATTTTTGAATAAAATATACTCTTTCATGTCATATTCTAATCAAATATGAAATTGTTTCTACCTTGCATTGAAAGTAAAAAACCAAAAAGTTTATTGGCCTTAAATGTTTATAGATGTGAGTCTAAAACATCACTACCCATCTTCTATTCTATTTTCTATCCTATTTGCATTACTGAGCAAATTTTCCACCTTTATTCTCCTTTCTGTATAATACCTCAAAGCCTCCAAAATACCCAGATTTTACTATAATCTGTGCATTTTCTCCTTTCCTTTAAAATTTCAGTTTAAAGTTTATTAAACACATCTCTTCCAATCCCTAAGAAATCTGCTCTGTCCCTTGCCAGAGTCCACCTTTCTGGTATCTTAGCATTTACAATCAGGCAGTCTGCTCTCTGTCCTTCTTTTCCTTCACATACACAGCCTTCAGTTGACAGTGAGATGAAAATTCTACCTGCCACTCACTTCACTATCTTGAATTTCAAAGTCACATGACACACCTCAGGTGTCTTCTGATTAGTGACGCCATTCATCCCACAGGAATTGGCAGGATAGAGGTCTGTAGGCTTAACTGGTGTGAATAAGCTTTTCATCATATGTTGTTCAAGAAAAACCACACATGCCCGGCTGGCATGGCTCAGTGGTTGAGCATCGACCTATGAAATAGGAGGTTACAGTTCGATTCCCAATCAGGGCACGTGCCCAGGTTGCAGGCTCGATCTCCAGTGGAGGGCGTGCAGGAGGCAGCCGATCAATGATTCTCTCTCATCATTGATGTTTCTATTTCTCTCTCCCCCTCCTTTCCTCTCTCTGAAATCAATAAAAATATATCTTTTTTTAAAAATATATTTTATTGATTTTTTACAGAGAGGAAGGGAGAGAGATAGAGAGTTAGAAACATCGATGAGAGGAACATCGATCAGCTGCCTCCTGCACTCCTCCTACTGGGGATGTGCCTGCAACCAAGGTACATGCCCTTGGCTGGAATCGAACCTGGGACCTTTCAGTCCGCAGGCCGACGCTCTATCCACTAAGCCAAACTGGTCAGGGCAATAAAAATATATCTTTAAAAAAAAACACACGTCTCTGCCATTAGGCAGGTCTACATATACTCAGAGTCACATTGCTCAGGGGATAGCCACGCCCCTTAATCGGTATGCCCAGGCCTGCTAGTACCCATATGTCTCCAGAATACTCTACCACTGCTGTTTCCACAGAAGGATCAGATTTGTATTCCCTGAAAAAGTCTCAGATCTGTTGCCTAAAGCCAGACATTGCAAGTTTTTCCTCCTTTTCTGTACTGCCTGTTTTGTTTGTGTTCCCTAAAGCTGGTTTAGGATACTCTACACCTCACAATTCACTTTCCCTTCCTGGCTCCCTTGAGGTATTATTTCTTCCATTCTTTGTAGGTGCTTTTATAACTCTCAGAAAGCAGACCTCAAACTCTTACCTTTTCTGGCTAGAGAACCATTTCGCTTCCTCGGGCATCATGGTTGAGAGCCTCTAGGTCACTGAATCAGATGCCTCCTATTCTGCCTCCTGGAACTCAGTCAGCACTTTAGTTGCAGTGGCTCTGTTCCACTCTGAGGGAGCAAGCAGGCAGTCTGTACTGGAGGGTCTCATATTAAACCACTCCTGGGCTCCCTTCTCAAAGCTGGCTAGTCCTTCCTGGTTTGCTCAGCTAGGTTCAACTGAGGTCCTCAGAAAACAAGACCCCAAGCCTGAGTGAGCATCAGGATCACCTGAGGAGTGTTAACCTACAGCTTTGGGGTTCCACCTCAGGAGTTCTGAGGCAGGGGTCTGTGGCAGGGTTCCCAGGGAAATTTGATGACCTGCCTGCTTCAGGTGTGCTACCTTAAGTAATTACATACAGAACTAAACCCTTCACTTAACTCAGCGCTTCTCTATCCTGGCTGCACATTGGCCTCACTTGACAAGCTTTAACAAAGTCCAATGCTCAGGCCCCACCCAGGCAATGAAGTCAGAAACTGGAGGGGAACCCTGGCATCAGCATGTTTTCCAAGCTCCCCAGGTGATCCTAAAGCACAGTGACAATTGAGAAGCTCTCTTCCCAAGCTCCCCATCAGTTCTCCTCGGCAGCGACTTTCTACGTCTTCATTTCACATCCTCCAAGCCAGTTCTCACTCTTCTACCCAGTGGTGTAGACCTATTTGGTTGGGAACAGGGAGGGAGAGGAAGGGACCATGAGTATTTTTTAAACCTCCCAGGTAATTTCAATGTACAGCCAGGGTTGGGATTCCTTCCCCAACTTCCTCTAGGCTCTTCTGAGGCAGAGAAAGAGAACATATAAATAAAGAGACCAAGGGTGAACCCCTGAAGAACCTTGAGGATCAACCAGCACAGGACTCTGCATCCTCACTGTTGATGGAAATTTGCTCCGAAGTTCACACTGACCCCACATCAGACAGAACCCAAGGCTCTGACTCCAGCTTCTTTGTTGCTGTGAATGTGGAACATGAAATAAAAGTTTCCCCACCATGAACTTAAAATGACTCTTGGGAAAACCCCTCCGGGAGCGATAACCAGCTTCCAAGAATGAAGTGCAAAGGGCAAATATCAGCTGGGGGCCCAGGATCTGGCTGTTCCATCTCATTAGCCACAAGGACACGAAGTCAGTCATTCTAGCACCAGGAAAAGCTGCAGGGGACATGTGGCCAAAGCTCTCAGACAAATATACAGAGATCCGAAGTCCTTTATAGTCCCCAAAGAGTTAGCAGACTCAGTATAAACTGTCTACCTTCCCCTCTGCCCAATTCTTACAACTTCCCACCTCCCCCCACTACCACCACCACCACCCTGAGAGCCAAAAGCACTCAGCCGCTCTCAGCTAAGCTGAATCTGGAAACATATCTTCTGTTCATTCGTCCAGCCAACATTTCCTGAAGCACCTGCCACATGCAAGTCACTAAGGTCAAGTGTCAGGGACACAAAGACTCAGTAGTCTCTGTTCACAGGGGACCCTGGGAGATGCGTTGCTGGCTGACTGGTATAACAGGCAGATTGAAGACACAGGAGGTAAAATGTCCTGTCAGCGAAAGGCAAGAAACTAGACCATGTGATGGACAAGTGTAAGCAGGAGCAGAATGACCCAACGCTGCTAGCAGTGGGCCAACGCATGTCAGCTCCGAAGAAAGGGCCGTTGTGGGGAGCTGGACTCTGGACACCTAACCCTGACTCCTGCAAAGAGGAAGGAGAGTCCCAGTCCTCCTTCCTGACCTCAGAGCTAGTGTAAAAGTAAAAGTAGGTGTGTTATCTTTATCTTACAATTAAGAAAACTGACGTCACTCGGGCCAGCTCCAAAGCTTGTGTACATTCCACCACCCCATGTGCCTTCCTGTTTGGATTCAGGGATGTGAGCCTGGGAGTGGGATTACCTCCCCTCGGGTAATGGCTGCAGGGATCTGGAGCAACCTCAAAGAACGCTGGAAAAACAGAATAACCAGCCTCAGGAAGGGCCATCTGCATACCTCTCTGGTTGGGAAGGGTCCTTCCAAACTCAGAATTAATTAATCCACCCACCAAGCATGTACTGGGCACCCACTGTGATCCAGGCCTGTACAGGCTCTGTGATTAATACCCAGGCCCCAGCCTTCACAGAAAAGTGAACATGGGCAATTATAAGAATGAAAGTCACTGCCAGGTAACCCATCCAGCCTGGGGCAGTGAAGGGGTGCAGATGGGTACCAGGACCACTGTTACTGGCACGGAGGCTGGTACTGGGTTGGGGGGAGGGGAGAAAGAATTTCTGGCAGAAAGGACAACATGTGATTACCCTGACAATGAAGTCAGAAGTGAGTAAAGTCACCCATGCGCACACAAAAAATGTACCTAAGCCAGCAATTCTCTCTCTCTCTCCTTTTTTGTTTTGTTAATCCTTCACCCAAAGATATTTTCCCATTGATTCTTTTAGAGAGAGTGGAAGGGAAGGGGAGAGACAGAGAGAGAGAACCATCGATGTGAGAGAGATACATCAATTGGTTGCCTCCCACACACGCCCCAAGCCCTTGACTAGAATTGAACCCAGGACCCTTCAGTCTGCAGGCTCTATCCACTGAGCCAAAGCAGCTAGGGACCGCAAGAATTTTTTAAATATGCAATATCTGACTATTTAGTCAAGGACACTGACCTCTTTTCCCTTAGATCAGCGGTTCTCAACCTGTGGGTCGCGACCCCTTTGGGGGTTGAATGACCCTTTCACAGGGGTCACTAAGACCATCGGAAAACACATATATAATTACATATTGTTTTTGTGATTAATCACTATGCTTTAATTATGTTCAATTTGTAACAATGAAAATATATCCTGCATATCAGATATTTACATTGCAATTCATAACAGTAGCAAAATTACAGTTATGAAGTAGCAACAAAAATAATTTTATGGTTGGGGGTCACCACAACATGAGGAACTGTATTAAAGGGTCGCAGCATTAGGAAGGTTGAGAACCACTGCCTTAGATTGTCAAATTAAAAAAAAATTACAACAAACACAACAGCCATCTGGTGTGAATGAATCAAAATTTTTTCTATTTTTTGGTCAGATTGGCAAAAAATATATCTTTTGGTGTGCCACATAATTTTAGTAATTAGTTTATGTGTGCCATGAAAAAGGTTGAAAATCACTGACCTACATAATAATTGGTGATTTCTAGGACTGTTGCAATGCTAGCCTATCTAGAGCTGTAATTCATCAGCAATTCTAAATCAAGATTATACCTATAGAGGGACAGTAAGCCACTCTGACAAAAGCAGAAACCTTTATTTGCTCTCTTGGAATTATCACTGCTTGAATAGAAAAGGGTGAAAGTGTGGCAGAAATAGAGATCCCGCCCCTATGAGATAGAGACCTCATTATAGAGATGAGGAAACTGAGGCTAATAAATGTAACCTTCCTGATTCCATTCTCTTAACCACCATGACTGCTCAATGGAGAGAAATGCTGACTCAAGGCACCCAAGCACTCAACCATGGAGAACACCTTATTGTAGGGTAAAGATATTTCACCCACCCTAGCCGGTTTGATTCTGGTCAAGGGCACATGCCCAGGTTGTGGACTCGATCCCCAGTAGGGGCCGTGCAGGAGAGAGCCAATCAATGATTCTCTCTCATCAGTGATGTTTCTATCTCTCTCTCCCTCTCCCTTCCTCTCTGAAATCAATAAAAAATATATTTAAAAAATAAAAGCAATTTCACCCAACTGTTTCAGAAAATACCCCCAAACCAAGCTAAGGCAGGCTTAAGTCTTTTCCATAAACTCCTCCCTTAACCTTGATCCCTCCCTCTACTTCTGCATTTCCTACCTTAAACTCAATACTGTAGCCCACCCTGAACTCCTTACAGCGTCTTGAAGATGTCCTTCTTTCTTGTCTACAAGTTTTCATACATTCTGTTCTTGCTGCCTGAGAGGCTCCTCTCCCCTCTCTACTCTTGATTAATTTTTCTTCATCATTCAGGTATCATGTTAAACTTCCTTAAGGAGAGTTTCTAAACTCCTAGGCTAGTTCAGGTCTCTTCCTGTGGCTCCTTGCATCTCACAAATCACAACACTCATCATAATCCATTGTAATCTTGTGTAGTGTTGCCTATCCTAGCCTTCTACTAGCGCACACACACACACACACACACACACACACACACACACACTGACAGCTCCGTAAAGACAATGATCAGTGCTGGGAGGGTGGCAAGCACTTCATGAGTATTTGGTGAATGCTCATTCTCCAGCCCCATCTCTTTCTTGAACTCCAAATAGGCACAGTTGCCTACTATCTTACAAATACACTTCAAATTCAACATGGATTGCATCCCCCTCCTTGTAAATTATGCCAGCACCTACTGATTGCCCAAGCCAGAAACCACATCTCTTCATTCAGGGAACATTTATTGAGTTCCTTTCTTTGTTTCTTTGCTGGGGATACAGTGGATCATAAGACAGGCTCACCCTCTATATGGCACAGAACTTACAGGCTGGTGAACATTACCTACCTCTTCCTTATGCCAGACATCCCAATAAATGTCATTGGTTATACTGATTATAACTTCTAAATCACTCTCCCAGCCTTAGCCAGTTTGGCTCAGTGGATAGAGCGTGGGCCTGGGGACTGGAGAGTCCCGGGTTCAGTTCTAGTCAAGGGTATATGCCAGGATTGTGGGTTCGATCCCCAGTAGGGGACATGCAGGAGGCAGCCATTCAATGATTCTCTCTCATCATTAATGTTTCTATCTCTCTCTCCCTCTCCCTTCCTCTCTAAAATCAATAAAAATATATATTTTAAAAATAATAATAATAATAAAAATATTATATCACTCTCCCATCTGTCCTTTCCCGAAAATATCATCTCCTGAATAAGCCATACCCCCACTGCCGTTGCCCTAATTCAGACTTTTGTCATTTCTTGCCTGGATTTCCAGGAGAGCTTCCTATCAGGGTCTCTGCCTCCAGCCTTGCTCTTCTGTCCCAACCCAGCTACATCGTTCCCCTGCTTAGAACCCTTCAATGACTCCTTACATGCTTTAAAATAAAATCTAAACCATCTAAGGTTTGTCTCATGCTTTAGCCCCTTGCCTTCCTTTGTTCCCCCAATCCCACAATCCTCCACACACACCCCACACTCCATTCTTCTCATCTCTGTGCCTTTACATTGCCTTTCCCTGTATCTAGAATGTCCTTGCCCTTTCCTCATCAACAGATATTTATTGAGTACCTTCCAGACAACAGACACTGTACTAAGTGCCAGAGATTCAGCAGCGAGCACAACAAAGTCCCTACTCTTATGATGTTTACATTCAAGAGGGAAAGATAGCCCTGACCTGTGTGGCTCAGGTGGTTGAGTGTCCTTCCCTGTGCTGAAAGGTTGCCGGTTCAATTCCCAGTCAGGGAACATGCCTGGGTTGTGTTCAGGAGGCAGCCAATGGGTACTCTCACATCTCTCTCTCTCTCTCTCTCTCTCTCGCTCTCTTGCTCTCTCTCTGTCCCTTCCACTCTCTCTAAAAAATCAATGTAAAAAATATCCTCAGGTGAGGATTGACCAAAAAAAGCAGGTGGGAGACTGAGAGCCACCACTTTAAATAGGATAGGTCTCTGATAAGGTAATATTTGTGCAAAGATATGAATGGAGTGAGGTAATAAGTTCTGAGGGTACAAAAATTGTTCCCTGAATACAAGACCCCTTAAGCAGGAAAAAGCCAGGCAAATTGAAAGAAAATTAAGACAGCCCCTGGCTGGTTTGGCTCAGTGGATAGAGAATTAGCCTGTGGACTGAAGGGTCCTGGGTTCGATTCCAGTCAAGGGCACATGCCCAGGTTGTGGGCTCAATCCCCAGTAGGGGACATGCAGGAGACAGCCAATCCAATCAATGATTCTCTCTCACCATTGATCTCTCTCTCTCTCTCTCTCTCTCTCTCTCTCTCTTCATCTCCATCTCCCTCTCCCTCTCCCTCTCCCTCTCTGAAACCAATAAAAATATGTCTTTTTAATTTTTTTTTTTTAAAAAGAGAGAAAATCAAGACAACAAACAGTATAGCCAGAGCAGGGTGAGGGAGGAGGAGAGGTCTGGGATGAGTCAAAGCAATCAGATGAAGTGGGCCTTGAAGGTCATGCTAAGTGGCTGTTTCTCCCACCCCTGACTCCTTTTCATCCTTCAGTGTCAAGTGCAGAAATCACTTCCTAAACAAGCTATACACCACCCTACTCCTAGCACTTAGCATATACAATATGTTTAATTGACTACTTTTGCTGGTCTCCGCCACACGATGAGTTCCCTACAGCAGGGGCTCTATCTTTCCGCTCCATGTTTTATGGGCCCCATCCCAAGCACTAAACTGTTTCTGAATAGTCGAAATATTCTTCCTTCGTTCTCATTTCATGCCCTGCAAGTAACTCCCAATTACCAGATTGGTTTCCCAGTGGCCATTGTACTAGAAAGGAGGTGCCTTGATAGTGAACACATACCCTCTGGAATTTAGAAATTACACATGTATGCTCACCATTGTACATTTAATAAACATTATCATTTATACACATCAGCCTCTTTTCTGGGTGAGACTCAATTGGTGAGAAAATGATCAACTCTGGGTCATGATGACCCAAGGAAGGCACTGCTCATGGAAGGGCCTCAGAGCAGCCCTACAGAAGCCCCAGATGCCCCCTCATCACCACCTTCCCTATTTCAGATGGCAGCCCATCACCTTCCATCTGCCCAAGCTTGAATCCTTAACATCACCTCAAAGACCTCCTACACACCCCCACATCCAGAAGTCTTAGAAATTCCACCTTATAACGATTTCTGTATCTACCCCCTCATCTCAGTTCCAAAGGCCCTGCCCAGAGGGCAGGCCTCCACCACACTTCATATGGACTCAGGTTTCAGCTCCCTAAACCGGTCTCCCTACCTTGTCTCTCTTTCCAAAAACACTCTCCACATGCCCACCAAGCAAATTGTACTTCCCCACTTAAAATTGTTAGTTCCCCCTATTTCCAAAATAACGTCTAACCTGTTTAGGCACCATATAAAACCTCCTTGAGCTGACCCTAGGCTATATTTCCAGTCCTTATCTCCTCCCCTGTCTCTTACTCCACATTCCAGCTCTACCAACTACCTGCAATTCTCTCAACAGTCTGTACCTTTCGGCGCTCCACATCTTTTTACGTGCAGTTACCCCTGTGAGAAATGTCCTAGAAGACAGCTATATATCTTTTCAAAATTCAGTTCAGACATTGTAGTCTCTGTGATGTCTTCCTAAGCTCTCCTCCCCATAAGAAGAAAGTTGCCCTGCTTGCTCCTATGGTGCCTGTACACTACACCTATTATCTTGCATGACAATTATTTGTTACCATGTCTGTGTCCCTCTTGGTTTTCTCCTTCTGGGGTTTCTCCTGAACGACTATGGTTAAATAGAGATATTACTGCATAGATCATATCTGGACAGAAGGTCCTCAGAAGTCTCAGCATCTGACTTGTCCTGGGTATTCACTAAGAATAGTTGAAGGAAGAAACTCACATGTCCTTACATTCTTACAATCTTGGTTGTCCTTCTGACCTTCTCCCAGATCTCTGTGCCTCTGAAGTTACTAGAGATAGGATGAAGTCCTATTAGCAGCCAAGAGATATACTAATTTTAAATATAATAATTTATGTTACATTGAAGTCATAATTTATGGTTTTCACTGAATCTGATTTCATTTTTGCAGGAGCCTGGAAGTGAACAGTCACTGCACCTTGCCTAAGGTCATGCAGTTACTGAGCCCAGTCTCAAACAAAGCCTGGTGCACTCTTCACTCTACCAGAGTTGTCTCAAATA